TGTTTCATTTCAGGCCAAATTAGTGTTACGTCGCGATTGATACATAGATGAATGTCTCACAACCATCTGCTAACTTAAACACCAGCCAACTTGTTGGGTTTTGTTTCAGGACAGACATGAATATCCCTAATGGAAAGAATACCGCCTGCGCGAATGAATTTACGACGTTCACAATCCCCAAACAGGAACTGTATAAACAAGCGCTCGCAAGGACCATTGCTGACAAAGTCAATCTTAGAAACCCTCTATTTTGAGTCGCCTTCTCTGTCACCTGAGAAGACAATATAGCAATGAGAAAGAGTTGAGTTGCCCTGAAGATGGTCGTTGCTGCCGAGGAGCCAGTCCCTGCAGACGTGATTTCCCGCTTGCTTTTGGTGCTGCGGGGGACCACCATTCTGCTCCTAGCGTTGCCTTTCAAGGCAGTGGTTTCATCCGCCCATAAAAGTCAGTGAGGACACCAACAGCACGCCCGTCCTCTCATTTGTGCCGTTAATTGCCGCTGAGAAATTAAATACGCTGAAGAGGGTGTGAGCCATTCTGCTGATATTCGGAACAACTTTTAAGAGTGTTTATTGAAAAATACAAACATCTGGCCCCTCCTTGCTTCCCGATAGCAGTAAGCTCCGCAGAAGGACGACGGGAGCTTTCCGGGGGTATTTACACATCTGGGCAACACCTGGCATGAGGAGCTAGACGTTTTGGATAGAAAGGAAGAAAAAGAGAAAAAGATTTAAATCGAGATTTTGTAGGTGTTTCAAAAGGGAAATTCAGCTAATGAGCTAACATCTAGGAGTCCTTTCCCATGTGGCTGTCACTACTTAAGAGACACAGCTTCCGGCGGATCCGAACACGGGATGATGTACTTTTAGCAAAAGATGGGTAGGAAGCCAGATGCACTACGGCTCACTTACACGCAAGATTCCAGAAAACCCAGATAAGGTCAAGTTAGCTATTATATGTAAAGGAGGAGGGAGGTGCATGTAGAGGAGCGGAAGAACCTTCGGAGACCTTCCTTTCCCGTCAGTCTGGCCCATTTTAGGGCAAAGATGGAGTCGCCAGGCGAAGCAGTAGCACGCTGGTGTTAAGGAGAGGTTTTCTATTCTGTCCCTGAGAGGCTTGCAGGCAGGCCTGGTGGGTGGCAGACCCTGTCTCTACTTGGAACGACATGCAAGCGTGGCAGTGGCTTCCTGAGGTCTAAAACTGTGTCCGCGGCAGGAATTCTCGGTAGGGCCAGGCGGCGTTGGCTTCTCATAACGGTTGTGTTTCAAGAGAAGCAATGGAATATTTTGTCTCCAGGAGCAAGGTGGGCAAAATGAATATGGAAGCCTTCACACCAAAGGCGGATGTCCTGGGGGGCCAGGCGAGCTCCTCCAGCGTCCCAGTAAGGCTGTTTTCAATGAACTGAGTAGACGTCGTTTGATAAACAAAGTGAATGCGCGACCGTGAGCTAACGGCCCTTCGCTAAGTCCTTGGCACACAACTGCCTGAGCCGCGTTGACCGACCGAGTGAATTAGCATGGCGACGTATCACCTGTTTTTCTAATCTTTGAACCTAGGCTGGAGCCGGAGCGCGGCTGCTCGGCTCCCCCGCCCGGGCGCAGGCCCCGGCTTCGCACCCTCGGGTGACCCCGCCCGCTAGCCCGGCGTGCGCGCCTGCGGGTCTGGGGAGAACCGTGAACCGGAACCTCAGGTGCCTCCCACGTGTTCAGAGAATTTGCGTTCTCCTCTAGCAGGGGCATTTTAAAATAAATTTCTAGAGGGTGAAAGGCTAATCCTACCCACCTTTTTGTCAATAGCAGCGGGAAAGCCCCAGAAAGCAAAGAGACGAGGACGCGCGCCCCACCGACCCAGAGCTGGGAAGTGTGCAGGGCCTAGGCCGCCACCTCTTTCTGTGGCTGCCTGAGAACAGCCCTCTGGTCCTCAGGCACGGTCTCTGCCGCCCCCAGACGCGATCCTAACCCGGCGCCGGTATATAAACACCTTCTTCCTCCGCCAAGGTGCGCGAACAGCCTGGAGTGCTGGCGACATTGTTCCCCGAGAGTCCCTTTCACTACTGAGGCCACTCGGAAGTTTACTGCCCTGGAGCCTGATGGCAGCCAGGGCCACAATTCCCGGACGTGCAGGCGCCCGGGTTTTAGGTAGAGGCGCGCCGCCGCGAGGCCGCCCAGGCGGATTCGGGAATCAACACGCCAATGCCGGCCGAGTCCCGCGCGGCGCGCGCTCCCAGAAAGAAGAGGAGGGGCCCTCGACAGCCCTCTGACCCCTCCCGACGTCAGGCAAAGTCCAGACTAGAGAAGTACGACGTTATGTTGTAAAAAGAACTAGGGAATACCCAGCGGAATCCCCGGGAAGCCGCCGAGCCGGGTTCGGCTCCTGGGACCCCACCCGGGCCATTGTGGTGGCCACCCTTGCTCCCACATAGACATGCAGACTGCCCTCTGCTAACTCCTTTCTGCTCCGGGCTGTCTGACCATCTTACCAAACTAGAGTGATTTCTTATTCCCTCTTTTTTAACAAACTGCTAGGGACGCACAACACTCTTCTGTGTTCAGATATGGGTTTATTCAGTGGCAAAGTCAGGATGAAGGTTATATTTATAATCAAGATGCAAAATTTGAAGATGGTCACTTACATACATATCTCAACATGTTACATCCAGATATTCACCCTGGGCCACTGAAAAGGACAATGCATCTAGGGAAATGTTAGTGTATTATGAAACATGAACATATAAATTGATGTTAATCCTCCCTAAACCCACTTTATTATCACATTTAGACCTCATAGCTCTGTGATGTAGTTGGGATGTTGAGGCAGAGACAAAGATCCCTTGCAACTTTGCTGTACTGGGTCAGCCTGCTGAAAAGAATAGGAGGGACGTCCAAAAATAGGGTCATATTTAATATTTTAGAAATTATGTTAAATAGTACTCATTTGATCAAGATGTCTTGGAAAGTGTAAGAAACATTTTGCAAACAAAACACTCCTAAGGTTTTGCAATTTATGTGTCTGCCTGGATTGACCTTCTGAATATCAAAAATTAGTTTCAGTGGTTTCACACTAGATTAAAAAAAAAAAAGAAAATCTATCAACTTGAAAAATGAGAGTGGTGAATACGAGCAAGGGGTTTATATAGTTTCTCTAAATATTCTGGAAAACGTTTGTTTTCCACCCAGAATTTGAAACCATAAATTATTGGTCGCTAAGAAGTAAGAGTGCTTCTTGAACTATGCATCACTGTGTTTGCAGACAGAAATGTTGAGCTTTAAGAGACGTAATTATTATTATTTTTTAAATAGTGGCAGCTGGAAAGAAAATTGGAATCTGCATTGTGAGGATGGGAGCTGGTGGGCACCTGGCACTCGGGACTGGGACACTTTTCACACTTTGCCAGAGATCGATGGCGTGCATACATAACTGAGCAAAACCGGGCACAGGAACACAACCGAGGTGCTCAAGAGCCGGAGATGAACATTGGTTTGAAATGTGGAGTTAGGAGACATTCTGACCAGCCCTTGGTAAAATTGTTCGCCTGCATTTGCTAGGCCCAGGTGGGCAGCCAGGAGGGACCTGCCAGGTCAATTTCCTCAAAATGAGGGCCATCAGAATGGGCTGGATCTGGAGGGCATGTGACTCCGTATCTCTAGGTATCTAACCGGAGACCCTCACCCCCTCCACTTTGGGAACCTTTGAACTAGGTTTCTAGAGGGTCCTCCCTTTCTTGGAGCCTCAACTTTTCTCCTAGCCCCGGCACCATGTATCCCAAAACTATGCTGAGAGCGCCCAGCCCCGAACTCTCTAGCTGAGGGAGGTAAGAAATTCTGGAGAGGAGGAGCCCTGTAATCCATCAACAGGTGCGGGCTACCAGACCAGGCCAAGTGTCGGGGTCACCTGCGGTGGAGAGGGCGGACTCCAGGAAGACTTCTAAAGGTGGGGCCATAGAACTCACTCTGACTTAGGAACTGGACATCTCTGCCGGACTCCAGAATCTGTCTTTGAAAGAAGTGGGGCAAAGAGGGAGGAAGAGGGAGAGGAATCAGACAGTATTCAGCTCAGAGCGCCCAGGGGGCGCGAATGAGGATGAGCTTCTATCTAGCGCAGGAACCACCTTGGGGTGAGAGGGACCCAATGTGTAGAGACGCGGCAGCCCCAGCTTAAGGTAGCTGGGGATGCCAGCCAATTTAGGTCCCTGAGTCTCCAGACTGGAAGCCGGGAATAGCGGCCGCCCTGAATAGAGGTCTCTGAGTCACCCTAGGGCACGGGGTGGGGGTGGGGACCACGCTGTGCACCTCTGGGCGGCAGAACAAGCAGGTGCATGGGGCACTCTCCTGGGTCTGACTCTCTATCAGGCATG